CAACAAGTTGAACTAACACTAGACTTGATTGGTTTGTAGGACAACATATCTCTAGTCTAGTCTTAGATTGAATCCTGGATTGCTGAGTCTTGATTGGTTACACTAACTGTACAGACATCTCATTCCTATGGGGACATCATGCAGCTTGCAAAAGCTTCCAAGTCCAAACAAGTCACTTTTCGTGCTCCATGTGTTTTGGCTTTATAGTTTATCTTGCTTTTAGGTCAGCAAAAATGATCTTGTACTTCATTCAAACATTCTATGAAGTGCTAGATTTTAGCTCTTAAACTTAATTTGATGGCCTTTTTCACGATGGACCAAGAATATTTGATGCAGCTGCAATGATGGAATTTATATTGTCTCCTTGGGATCTCGTAATGTATTAGGTGTAGGCCTTGAAGCACACCATTTAATGCTTATAATTCCTCCCTTCCAAAATAAATAAGTTGAATCAATATTTTTATTAATGACTATTGATTAATCTATATATTACTAAATGGAGGAAGGATCATAGATTAATTTGAAAAAATAGAGGTGAAAAACGCACCAGAGAAGTTTTGGAAAAACTAATGTGCCAATAAAAGGTTTTTTATTCCTTTACTTCTAGCAAGGAGATTTTTCCATCTCAAATGGAATCTTGAAATAGATCTTTAAAATGTAAATACAATATTACTTCTATCTATATTAATTGGTTTCTTTTCTATGGTTTTAGTAAACTTTGAATTGTTAATCAATGGAACATGAAAAAATAAAATACCTTGGAAATGAAATTTAAGGTCGTAATTTTGTGGGAAGGAGAGTATAGATGTTTGGTGCATTATGTCTAAGTCATAGCACTTGACATGTACACCTTGAATATTTAGTGAAGGTGTAAATAAGCCAAATCAAACAATATATCTTGCTGTCCAAATTCTTAAGCATACTTCTAGCTGCTTAACCTTGGCTGGTGAGGAGTAGATTGTTTTCAAACTTGGCAAGAGCTAAGCCAATCTTGCTCAATTGATAAGTGTATCATCATTGCATAATAGATAACCCATTATGGAAAACTCGGATATCGATGTAAGGTGCAAGTATGTGTCCAGGTGTTGGATTTATCTAATTCCCATGTCCAAGGACACCACAACATGACTAGATTTCATATTTGTTCAACATTTTTTTATTTTGTATTTTTTTAGCATAGAAAGGTATTTGCTACAAAAAATTGAGCATTTTATGAATGAAATGGAAGTCTAATGCATAGTGATATAGTAAACTCAAACCATTTAGACATTCTTGTTTGGTGCATGTCCAACTAGACATGTCAGTTGCATTTCCCATACAGAACCCTTATCCTTACACACGTGGCATGTCTATGTATCGGACACATCCATGTGGCTTGTCAAATTATTAATTATTATTTTTTGCAAAACATGTTGGGAACACTTCACGGACACATGTCCTATGTCTGGATAACTCTCTTAGAAAATTGATTTGGGTTCAAAGTAAATATATGGAAATGGGGGAGAAGTGAAAAATAAATAATAAATACACACACATATAACATCGATGCTTCTCATATCTTTGTGCCCTAACTTAATGTTCATATACATAGCAAATAAATATATATATAAAAAATTCCGTACCCCCTGTGTTCGTATCTTAATTTTTGAGAATTCCATGTCCCATGTCTGTACTCATGTCCAGGTCTCTTAGGCTACCACTGTGAAACCTAAAAGGATACACGAAAGCACTTCACTTTCAAAATCAAAGATGGTAGAAGACTATCTAGAATAATTTGCAATAATAATAATGTGTCACAAACTCAATTGAGATATCAAATCCATTCATACATTAGCACCTTCTTGATACACAAAGCCAACCAAATGGAAAACAACAAATATAATTTTTTTTTTTTTTACTTTAAGCTCATATGATGGAAATCCATCTCTTAGGCTGTGTTTGGATCATAAATTTGGGTTTTTAAATTTCTATCCAAATCCATGATCCAAACACAGTCTTAGTAGATGCATCCTACACAGAAAGTTTTGGGTGCCTACAATTTTGGATTTTAAGTTTTAGGAGACCCAATCCTCCAAAATTGTCCTAAAATGAATTTTCCTTCACTACAACAAAGTACACCTTCGGCTACTAAAAAATTAGATTTTTTAGTCGCCACAGGCATGTTGGCAATAGTTTTTGGCAACTAAATTTATGTTGGTCTCTAATTATCTTCTCTTACTAAATCTAACTTTAGTCTCTAATTGACGCCTTTTGGCGACTAAAATTGTAGTCGCCGAAAGTTCTTAAATAAAAATAAAGTTCTCTTTCAGTGACTAAAATATTTAGTGGCTAATATGTTTTAGTCGCCAATAGAACTACATTTAGCGACTAATATTTTAGTCTCCGTTTTATGTCACATTTAGCCACCAAATAGTTTAGTTGCCATTGTTTTTTACGACTAAACATTTTAATCGCCAAAAAAATAAATATTTTCATCCCATTGTATTTTACGACAAAACATTTTAGTCACCAAAGAATGTCATATTTTTTCAAATGTTTAGTCGGTAATAATTTCTTCCCTCATTTTGATTTGTTTTGGCTACTAACTATTTAGTCGGCAAAAGACATTTGTTTTCACTTTTGTTTTTTATTTTTTATTTTTTACTACTAAATATTTAGTCACCAAATACCTTGGCTTGCTTTTTCAGCTGCCAAATATTAGTCATCAAAAACTTTACCTTTTTTGGCTACTAAATGTTTAGTTGTCGAAAACTTTATTTTTAGTGTTTTTTTTATTAATTTCGCAACCAACTGTATTTATTCCATCATTAATGCAATATATACCTTGTATATAAACAAAACAATACATATACCGATTATATTATCATTCCACAATGTGTGCACACATTTCACTTTCAACTATCCAAAAAATTCATATTTAATGTCAAATTCCAAATATAATAGATTTCTATACAAACCAATCATAATCCAACCTCAAAAATAAAATTCCATATAAAATAGAGGATTACACAAAAACCATATCCTCTGTACACAAAAAAGTAATATCTATAATATCATGCGAAAAGGTAATATGTACCACGCCAAGTTTTGAGTAATCTGTACCACGTGAAAAAAGTAAATTGTACCACGCAAAAAAAGTAATCCGTACCGCACAAATAGTTATCTGTACAAACAATAGTAATCCATAGACAAAAACCAATGTCTTCCGTTGACAAAAAAAAAAGCCTTATCTAAAATTCCACGGCAAAAACCATCTATAAAAATAAAATTACTCATTAGTGTTGATTTTTTATTGGCATATTTAAAATTATAAAATAAAATCATATAAAACTCAAATGTATATATAAAAAAAATTATATAAAACTCGGAGGCATATGTAAGGCAACTAGTTATCTTTTCAAAGTAATCATTGTAGGTAATTAATCATTAGTTTTGCATTTTCCCCCTCTGCAAACCTTTTTTCGACTAAGTTTAAGACGTTTTCAACTCTAACTCCCAACCAATGTGTCATATTTACGTACCGTCTGTCCCCACAAGTTGTATTTGTCACGAGGAAGCTGCACGAAACATCCATTGACTGGTTTGGGGGCTGTTTTGCATGTTTGCCCTCCGAACGCCCTTTTTTGACTAAATTTAAGGCAATTTCGACTCTAACTCTCAACCTATGTATTCTATTTACGGGCATAACTCTATTGTAGACTTTAATTCCTTTTTACTACTGCTTATCTATGGCGGTGTTTGGGAAGAATTTTTTTTTGTTTTTTTTCACTAAAAGACAAATTGGTTACAAAACCAAAAAAAAAAAACAAATCCAAACAAAATATCACATCAAACCCTATAATCATTTCACTTTTTCTCTGTAACGCCCTCAAAATAATAACATTAAACCCATCAATATAAACATACATTTATATACAAAAGATCCACATTCTCTCAATTAATCAGAGTACTTCATTACAAAAGTATTACACGTTAACAACAAAAGTAAATGCCCTACGGGCTTACAGCTTTCCAAGTTATCACTTGGTTACAAAAGAGAGTATTAACTCGGTTACACATTAAGCCCTTGGCTTGAATTTACATGTAATACATCAAAAGGAAAATAAGGCAACAAAAGTATGTTTTGCCCCTAGCCTCCCAAGCTATGTCCTTAGAGGCTGCTTGCTACCTGTACCTGAAAATGATGTTCTCATATAGGGTGAGCCACAGCCCAGCAGAGACATACTAAACCAACTATGAACAATGATTAAAAGATTAGCAACTGATAGGTGGTCGATACTTACACTTCCATTTACATCTTATTTCAATTCCATGACAACCAAACATATGTTACAATTCACCTTTCATTTCTTATTCAACTTTGAGTTTGAAAACGGGGTTCAGTACTCTGCCCAAAACATTTTGATGAGATTATAGTTCATCACTAGAACATTTTCAGAATTCACGGTGGATACACATTTTAGTGTTGTATCAATAACACATAAACTACTTCCATACTTCACAAACGATGATGATATACATTTTAGTGCTATATCAAATCAACAGACTTTTCAATAGATAAGCATATGAGCTATATCACTACTACAACAAATAAGCATATGAGCTGTATCCACACTTCACTAGACAAGCATTCTCTTTCAGTGACTAAAATATTTAGTGGCTAATATGTTTTAGTCGCCAATAGAACTACATTTAGCGACTAATATTTTAGTCTCCGTTTTATGTCATATTTAGCCACCAAATAGTTTGGTTGCCATTGTTTTTTACGACTAAACATTTTAATCGCCAAAAAAATAAATATTTTCATCCCATTGTATTTTACGACAAAACATTTTAGTCACCAAAGAATGTCATATTTTTTCAAATGTTTAGTCGGTAATAATTTCTTCCCTCATTTTGATTTGTTTTGGCTACTAACTATTTAGTCGGCAAAAGGCTTTTGTTTTAGTCACCAAATACCTTTGCTTGCTTTTTCAGCTACCAAATATTAGTCATCAAAAACTTTACTTTTTTTGGCTACTAAATGTTTAGTTGCCAAAAACTTTATATAGTGTTTTTTTTATTAATTTCGCAACCAACTGTATTTATTCCATCATTAATGCAATATGTACCCTGTATATAAACAAAACAATACATATACCGATTATATTATCATTCCACAATGTGTGCACACATTTCACTTTCAACTATCCAAAAAATTCATATTTAATGTCAAATTCCAAATATAATAGATTTCCATACAAACCAATCATAATCCAACCTCAAAAATAAAATTCCATATAAAATAGAGGATTACACAAAAACCATATCCTCTATACACAAAAAAGTAATATCTACAATATCATGCGAAAAGGTAATATGTACCACGCCAAGTTTTGAGTAATTTGTACCACGTGAAAAAAGTAAATTGTACCACGCAAAAAAAGTAATCCGTACCGCACAAATAGTTATCTGTACAAACAATAGTAATCCGTAGACAAAAACCAATGTCTTCCGTTGACAAAAAAAAAGCCTTATCTAAAATTCCACGGCAAAAACCATCTGTAAAAATAAAATTACTCATTAGTATTGATTTTTTATTGGCATATTTAAAATTATAAAAGAAAATCATATAAAACTCAAATGTATATATAAAAAAAATTATATAAAACTCGGAGGCATATGTAAGGCAACTAGTTATCTTTTCAAAGTAATCATTGTAGGTAATTAATCATTAGTTTTGCATTTTCCCCCTCTGCAAACCTTTTTTCGACTAAGTTTAAGACGTTTTCAACTCTAACTCCCAACCAATGTGTCATATTTACATACCGTCTGTCCCCACAAGTTGTATTTGTCACGAGGAAGCTGCACGAGACATCCATTGACTGGTTTGGGGGCTGTTTTGCATGTTTGCCCTCCGAACGCCCTTTTTTGACTAAATTTAAGGCAATTTCGACTCTAACTCCCAACTTATGTATTCTATTTACGGGCATAACTCTATTGTAGACTTTAATTCCTTTTTACTACTGCTTATCTATGGCGGTGTTTGGGAAGATTTTTTTTTTGTTTTTTTCACTAAAAGACAAATTGGTTACAAAACCCAAAAAAAAACAAATCCAAACAAAATATCACATCAAACCCCATAATCATTTCACTTTTTCTCTCACAAACATCACATTCAACTACAAAAAAACCCAACTATCTTTCCAAACACTAAATTTTTTTATCCAATAATATCCTACAATTAAAAAAACTTACATAAAAACCCACTTTCTAAATATATATATATGTTCATTTATATGCTTTTTTTTTTAAGAAATATATTTATTTGCTATATATATGAATATAAATTAATGCCACATATATTAAAGGCATCAAAGTATATGTTTGTGTTCTCAAGAAAACATATATGTTTTTGTATTTTTATTTTTTTTACAATTAATCAACAACAGGAAATACCGGGATCGCTATATTCTCTCACAAACATCACATCCAACTACAAAAAAACCCAACTATCTTCCCAAACACAAAAAAAATTCTCCAATAATATCCTACAACTAAAAAAACCTACAAAAAACCCACTTTCCAAACACCCACTATGTGTTCTAGATCAAATCAAGGATGATGCCTAGGGGATCAAGTGCCCAGAAACTATAGCTTTCTCTTCTAGTTTAATGAAGCCTCTATTTAACCCCCCCAAATAGTAATATTAATATATCTATAATACTTTGAATAATTTAATTTTATATTTCTTAAGTTATTTGCATTCACCAGATCAGACTGTTCAGTTGAACTAAAACATTTGTTTCAGATTTATAAATTAAACTGAAATAGTGCACATGCCATTGGAAAAAAGATGACAGCTCTGAAACTAATGCATAAATGGTGGAAAAAATTGCACCCATTGGTATTTGCTTGAATAAGATTAGCATTTCAAATTATAAAATTTAAAATTATATAAAACTCAAACGTATATAATCTTTTCAAGATTGTATGAGTCCTAATTAATCATATGTTGCATGTCCGGAGAAGTTGAGAAAAGAAAGCAGAAAGAAGGGGGAAGTGGGTTGCACTTTATTGGTAGAGGCTACCATGAGAGGGAAAACAATCTAGTTCTATCTACAAATGTAACCAGACAATAATTACAAATAAAAAATAGAGAGCTAGTACTGAAAATGCATGCCTACCTAAAAAGGAACCAGCCAATAGAGCTATTTGATTTTTGTATTTGGCTGTTTTGACACTAAACAGTAAATCCAAGCTTCTCTATAAGAGCCATTTGATTTTTGTATTTGGCTGTTTTGACACTAAACAGTCAATCCAAGCTTCTCTATATAAAGGCCTTTTAAGGATATAACCCGGGAGCAAAGGATTAGTATCATTCTCTAGTGAAAATATGGAATTAAAGCAAAGCTTGTACTTGGAGTACTTCTTTGGGGTTTTGCTACCTCTTGAACATGTTTGCTTTTTCTATGGCAAACAAGACCATCCTTTGCTCACGGGCAGAACTCTTTTTTTCAACTTTTCAAAACAATAATGTCAATATTTGAATTTTTCTAGAAATTTAGTATCATATGAATAAAAATGTTCTTACCAAATAGTAGAATGACCATCTCAAGGCTGCAAGAGGCTTGTGAGCCGTGAGACCATGTTGTTCAAATGATTGAATTGTACTTCTGTCTCCCGAGCTTTTTTCCCATCTTCGGCTTGTTTCATCAACTCCTCTCTCTCCCTCATCATCTCTTCATGATCACTCTTGCCCTCCTCTCTGTCCCTCATCAGCTCTTCATGATCTCGTTGCCGCTCCTTATGAAGAGCCTCCATCTCAGCTCTCATTGCATCCATCTGTTGATCACGAGCTCGTGCCGCAGCATCAAATGTGGAAGAGGGTTGTGGCCTAATCCCAAATCCACGCAAGTAATTTTTTTTTCTATCCAAGCACTTGCCTTTGACAGTTCCTCTTGAGTCTTGAGTATCAACTTTAAGGTATTTCCTTCCTATCAACTTTAAGGTAAATATACAAAACAGACCCCTTTTAACTATGACATGTATGCACATATGCACATTTAAAGAAGTAATTTATGTCTCACCAAACATGAATCCTATGGATTACAAACCCCGATGCATTTGCAACCACAATATACTTTAGTTCATTGATATTCTATATATATATGATTCTCATGTTTGCCTAGTTAGAAACCACATATTCATATTAAATAATGCTGACTCACTTAAAATAGAATTAAATCAAGTCTTTATTATGTGGACCCACATACATGTTTGAATCCAATTAGTAAAATTAAACAAACAAACAAAAAGAAAGAAAGAAAGCTTAGCTGCATAAACTATCAACGATCAGACAGTAAAATTTGCAAGAAAAATACTTAGTTCATCGAGAGGAAAACCTGATTAACAGCTTCACCAAAAGCCACAAATGCAAACTCTCCACCCGGAGCAAATAGAAGACCAACTCTTACTGCAGATATGATTGAAATACCAAAAAGTCTACCTGCTACAGCAACCAATATAGTCTTGCCACCAATTAAAAGAGGTAATGTCTCCATAATTACTGGAAAATTTGAAACAAAAAGTTTTGGATCAATTGACATTCCAACCTGAAACCCAAAGAACAATGGCCGTTAACCAGAGGTATTGGAGCAAACTATTCCTGTTCATCAATACTGTGATCATATCAATCTGTTAAAATTGATATCATTCTACTTGCATGGACGAGTAATTTTTTCATTGCTTCTGTAAGAAGACTGGATCTTCTAGAAAGAAAAAGTAATTTATTAGTTAAATTAGACAATAAATGAATCTTATAGAAAGAAGTAATTTGCTACCATCATGAAGAACAGACCCAATAAAAGGCCAGGATGTGGAGCAATATCTGATTCAACCTGTAAAGAAAATTACGTTTCTGCAAGAAGCAAACCAGCCAAAAACGCTCCTAATGTCATGGAAAGGCCAACCTGTTCCATTTATAATAAAAAAAATGCATACACTTAACATTAGAATGATGTAAAAGAGTAAAACTTAATAACACATCAGCATACCCTAGCTGTAAGGAGACTAGTCCCCAGAATAACAAGGAGCGTATTTGCAGAGAATATCTCAGCATTTTGATTTTCCGAAACTTGCTTATAAATCGGCCGAAGTGGCTGAAAATTAGCATAAGAATGACTAATATCATGAATTTCACAAACGCAAAAGAAATCTGAAAATCCTTGGCTTGTGCACACCATCAAAAGCTACGCCATGGTTATGCATAAACTCAAGTAGACAATAATTTTTATCTTTGATACAACACACTGATGATGCATGATGATATGCTTTATTAAAATTTCTTGAAAGAAGGATACTTGTTGAGAAGTTAATGATATAAATTGCATCATCAAGCATAAAATGTGGTTTCATCACTTACGATATCATATTTATGTTCAGCAACACAGAGAACTCACCAAGCGCCCTCCAGCAATTATGGCAGTAATTGCAATAATGGCCTTCACCGCAGCTAATCCAAGAGGTTCCGCAATTGCTTGGAAACCAACCTAAAAATGAGGGGAAAATTACCCATAGTAACAACAGAAGAAGAAGAAGAAGCAGCAATAGCACTGGCAGAAACAACTAAAATAGCAGTTGCAGCTATCCTACACAAGCTCAAAAGTGAAACAATCTTCAATAATTATTCATTTGACTTTCCCAGGTAGGAAACAAATATAGTTAAGCATCATATGCCTAACAGAGACTACAGAAGAAAGGGTGATGTGGTAGTTGGCTGTTCATCAATACATGTGGTATGATAACCTAAAATTTTAAGAATCAGTAAGAACTTTTACCCCCCCGCCCCCTTTAGATGAATTCGGTGAAATAAGAGGTGTGAGTATCAGCAGAACCACAACATCCAAATCCTGCAGGAATCACTCTTGCCCTCCTCGCTGTCCCTCATCAGCTCTTCATGATCTCGTTGCCGCTCCTCATGAAGAGCCTCCATCTCAGCTCTCATTGCATCCATCTGTTGATCACGAGCTCGTGCCGCAGCATCAAATGTGGAAGAGGGTTGTGGCCCGATCCCAAATCCACGCAAGTAATTTTTTTTCTGTCCAAGCACTTGCCTTTGACAGTTCCTCTTGAGTCCTGAGTATCAACTTTAAGGTATTTCCTTCCTATCAACTTTAAGGTGAATATACAAAACAGACCCCTTTTAACTATGACATGTATGCATATATGCACATTTAAAGAAGTAATTTATGTCACACCAAACATGAATCCTATGGATTACAAACCCCGATGCATTTGTAACTACAATATACTTTAGTTCATTGATATTCTATATATATATGATTCTCATGTTTGCCTAGTTAAAAACCACATATTCATATTAAATAATGCTGACTCACTTAAAATAGAATTAAATCAAGTCTTTATTATGTGGACCCACATACATGTTTGAATCCAATACCCAGGAATTAGTAAAATTAAACAAACAAACAAAAAGAAAGAAAGAAAGCTTAGCTGCATAAACTATCAACAATCAGACAGTAAAATTTGCAAGAAAAATACTTAGTTCATAGAGAGGAAAACCTGATTAACAGCTTCACCAAAAGCCACAAATGCAAACTCTCCACCCGGAGCAAGGAACAGTATGATTGTTGTTATCAAACCCATTAAATTGTACTCCTAACAATTATAGTGTTCTACTTCTAGACTAAGTTTACAAAAGCATAATCAATAACAAACAAGGATAATGAAACATGAGCTATGAAATGCCAAGTAGAAAAACCTGGATATAAAAGAGTTCAGATAGTGGCATTTTGTATGTCATCCTTCTGCAGGAGCCATGCTAATCCTCTATGTACCATTCCAAATTTATCTGATACTATATAGGAACAATCATGAAGTGCATGTACCTTATACATCCAAACATGAAATCATGCCACATGCTGCAACCATCTTACACTAAAGAAGTCAAAGATGAGGCTTCAATTTAACTACTACAATAATAGATCATGAGATTCAGTTACCTCTAGGGATTTTTTGGAGTATAGGCACATATATGCCACTTGCAAACAGCAACCACGACATGTCAAAAAGAGAAGCTTCCTCCTCATTTACCTAAAAAAAAGAAAAAATAAAAGAAGAATACTAAATCATGTAAACTGAAACAAAAAATATAATAAAATCCTAAACAAATAAGTAGTATGGAATACTAGGTTCTGAGGGCAAACAAAGTAAGCAAGGGAATTTCAAGCACGTGCCTCTTGATGAGGAATCATCTCTATTAGTTTCTTAACTCTCTTGGGCAATTTCCGTATTTGACGAATCAAAGGCTTTGTATTTGATGAGACTTTGTTGATACCAGCGGTAATGATGTCTGGTTGCAGAAATAGCTGGTTGATTCTCTCCACCAGATTGGTGTAAAAGGCAATCCTGTCATAAATCAAAATATAAACTTTTGTATCAGATATAGAAATCTAATAAATGTTCACAAATCCTGTTACCAGAAATAATTGATGATAAAAATCTAAAATCAGTAACAACTGTCAACTACTATTCTAAGGGATACATGTAATAAATATTACTGTAAAAAGGATCATAGACAGAGAAATTCCATCTTTGAAAACGTTGCATCTACCCGGCTCCAATGAGCAATGAGCCAACGACCAGCTTAGGCAATTGCTTCCTTGCAGACTCAACAAGACCATGGAAAAGGGATTACTGGTGTGAACTCAGTCCTATCTGAAAAGAAGTATGATGCAGAGAAGAAACGAGAAGATTTCTTCAGCAATGCTTTTGGAGCATTAAATGGTGATCCTTCCCTCGTCAAATCCTTCTGTAAATCTTGCTTTTTTGTTTGAACCATGTTCTTTGACTTTTCTGAATCTATTTCAGTATCTTTTGATGACTCTAAACTTATTTTTCCATTTTCTTGATCACTATCTGAAGATAAACTTTTTGGTTCTTCAAAACTCTGCCAAATCCATCAAATTGGGTACCTGGTAAAAGCACAATAACCAAAGAAGCAGCGTCAATTTGCACATCTATTTCCCTTTCAATAACAACACCACCTGAATTTCCTTGAATCAACTTTCCCTCCTCAACCAATTCGCCCTCACTTTGGTGTACAATAGTTTCCGCACAATCAACATAAGAAACGGAGACATCTTTTTCGGCTCCTTGTAAGGCAATCTCGGCATCATTTACATGTGCTGTAACAACCCCGACCTGTGATTAACTGTTAAACCATGATTAAGGATGCCTGTAAGGTGATTCCTGGAGAGAGTTTGGTCTCTCAACATAGGATTTTGGTACTAGATTTATGTTTTAGAGGGCAACACCAAGCTAAGAAGAATGGTGGGCGTCGTAGGACGAGATGGTGGGACTTAAAAGGGGATAAACTAGAAATATTTAAGAATCGAACGGATAAGGAAGGTACTTGGGACTTAGAAGGTGATGCTAACACTATGTGGAATTCGATGACCAATTATATGAGGAGAATCTCAAGGGAAGTGCTTGGAGAGTCGAAAGGAACAGGACCCAGCTCTAGGAAAACTTGGTGGTGGAGGGAAGAGGTCCAAGCGGTAGTTAAGGCAAAAAAAGAGTGCTTTAAAAAGTGGCAGAAGGATAGAACTGAGGAAAATCTTAAGAGCTATAGATTGGCTAATAAGGAGGTCAAGAAAGTAGTGAGAGAGACTAAGTTGCAAGTTTATGATGACCTATACACTAGACTAGATAGTAAGGAGGGAGAGAAGAGGGTATACAAACTTGCTAAGATACGGGAGAGGAAAACAAGAGATTTTAATCAAGTAAAGTGCATCAAGAGTGAGGATTCTAAGGTATTGGTGAAGGATTATGAGATTAAGGAAAGATGGAAGAATTATTTTGAGAAACTGTTAAATCAGGAACATGGTAGTATGACAATAGGGGAAGAAATAATCAGTAATACGATAAACCAAGACTATAGGTTCTATCGCACATGTTTTCCCAAGTTTTGAGCCCAAAAGATGTGTTTTGCAGCTTTGAATTTGAGTTTTGGACTTAGAACATCAATCTGGAAATTCCAAAATTCTGCATCACCGCTTGAGCGACCACCCTTAGCTTTGCATCTCAGCTCGAGCGAGAAGAAGGTGGCTCGAGTGTAAAATTCATGCTCCCAAAAGTTTTCCAAAATTTTGCATACCGCTCGAGCGACTAAAGTTGCGCTCGATCGAGAACCATGTTTACTTAGTCTTACACTAGAGTGACCATCGAGCGTTCATCGAGCAGAAAAATCACGCAACCAGTACTTTTGCAGACTTTACAGACCGCTCGAGCGGACTGCCCTGTTTTTGAAAATTTGGCTAAGTGTTCTGAGTTACATTTTGGTATCCCCATTGCATCTTAGGCATTCCTAAGCCCTAATTAAGACATAATAATGATGATAAAGGCTAGAAACACACTAAGAACGAAACGAAATAAATTAAGTACTATCCGAGTGTGTGTTTCAATATGTGAATCTGTTCCATGTTTGTGTATATCACGTGCCGTATGCTGTTTGATCCATTTGTTCTGCTATCGAAGTTACTTGTGAGTAATAACTCTGTAAAGTTATGTTTAACTTTAATTATTTTCTGATGATATGAAATGATCAATTTTCTGAAACACTATGTTTTGTATGAATGAATGATTGTCCAAGTTTCTAAAATGTATTCGTGGCATCCTTAGAATCATATGACATGTGTCCCTTTATGAGTCATTAGAATGCCTTTATGGTCGTCCCTTTATGGGTCATCGGAATGCTTTTATGGCCGTCCTATCATGGGTCATCGGATTTGTTAACGCTAATGGATATACCACATATGATCATGTGAAATGTATGAACTTTGAACATGAACATGCACATGTATCTGCTTCTGAATAAGAATCTGAATTCTGAATCTGTTATAGACATCATTCATTAAAACCTTTACTCTGTTATTATTCACTGGGCTCCAGCTCACTGTATTATTTATGTATGTAGGAGACCAGGCGCATGGCCAAGTTCAATGATGATCGCTTAGAATTCTATTTTGTCGGCCAACCTTTGTGCCTCCCGAGGAGGTTCCGAAAAAAGTCAAGTGGTTGAGTTTTGTGAACATGATGCAAGTTTAAGTATTTTATTTTGTTTGTTTAAAGAACAGTTCTTTTGTGGTATATGGTTGACGATGTAAGCTGGATATGTATATAACGTCATATGTGGGTATATGTATACGAGTTTTAAATTTTTGTCCCATGTATGTCAGCACAGTTCAATGGACTATGTATGTTTTATATTTGCTTCCGCAGCCCCTTATTATGTGATGATCTGTTCAAAGGCCTTTGGTAATCCCAGGATTACTGGTCGGTTACGACGCTAAACCTATAGGGACGGGTTTGGATCGTGACATGTACCGCCTCAAGTTCAAAAGCAACAGCTTTCTCTGCTAAATGCATGACATTTGCCGCATCTTCCTCCACTTTTAAAGCATTCATTTCCGCTTGCTCTACAATCTCATAGCCGATCCACTTCCTTTCCTTTTGCAATTCCTCTTTTCTACTTTACAATTATCTCAGCTCTGCCTCCAAATTTGTCAAAGTAGCTTGACAAACTCTAATATCATCCCGAGCTATGAAGCACCGATACGGACACAGGACACGACGCGGACACGTGGACACTCAAATTTTAAAAAAATAAGGGACACGACACACTGGGGACATGCTCAATATATATAATTTTTTTTTATTTATATGTAAAATTAAAAAATATATATTATTTTTATTTATTTATTTACTTTAATATTAAATATCATTCCCAATTTTTTTCTACAAATAAAAATAATTTATTCTATATGTTAATGTTTAGCAAACAAGAATATTAAAAAATATAGAAAAAAATAAAAGAGGGGAAAAA